CGAGCTTGTCTTACGGAGCCTTGCGAAGAAAGAGGGGGCGTCAAGCCGAGTCTCGCGTAAGCTTTCCGCTGTAAAAAAAAAAGGATATTTGTTTAAAAACTAAAACAAATGAAAAAAAAATGTATCGGTGTTGTGAGCTGTAAAAACCCTGTCATTTCAAGAAAATTGCAACAAGTTTGAAAAATTGTAATAAAAGACTAATTGTAAAATTAGTCGTATAAAATACGCCTTTTGGCGCTTTAACTAGCTCCCTCTCTCTTACTATTTCGGGAGAAAAAGTCTCCAATTTTCTTGGAAAACACCCCTAAAAGTCCCCGAAAGTCCCCAATTTTGGTTTTTTTATATATGGTAAACACCCTGATAGTTGAATTTCAATTATTTGCTTCTTTTTTGCCGAGTTTTATCAAAATACCTTTGCAAAAGCCTTAAATTTATTCCAGCAATTCTGCCGGGTTTTCTCCGTTTTTTTCTGGAAAATGGGGAGGTGCGGCCAATCTTATGCACTGAAAAAAAAGTAGTTAGCGTTGAGAACTAATTTGGTAAGTTCTCGCCAAGTAGAATCAAAATTAGGCTTCAGAACTAATTTATTGTACTGAAGCACCAATCAATTCGCTTCATACGCTGACTTGACTTTACTAGAGCGCGAACCAGAATTGGAAAACAGCACTAGCTGTAAAATTAGCGCTGTGGTAAGACAAATTCACTTTCGGGTCAAACTAATTCGCCCTCAACGCTAACTGCCACATTGTCCGTTACATTTATTTAGTTTCGAAAAAGTGGCGTCGGTACAACAGCCTCAATCGCGTCAGCTCGTGAAAATCAATTAAAATGTGAAATTTCGGGCTCGTTTGACAATGTAAATACTCCCGGTATGATTTATAGTGTCCTCTCTTTCTTGAAAACGTTCGGAAGCAACATAAATAAACCTGTTAAGGTTAGAAATCGTCTGTTCGATTCGAAACGTAAACAAGCATGATATTCGTTGGAGTCGTCAATCTTCTGTATTAAATTGCGATTAAAGCGTTCCGCGTTCAGTTTATATTTTACGAAAATCTGTGAACTTACTGCTTACTTCTATAGTTCGTGTTCTCCCGTAATTTCAAAAGAATATCTCAAGTGTTCGGACGAGATATGTTTATTCAGTGTGAACATTCGTTCCGTTTCATGTGTGAAGGTGTCTCTCTCTAAAGGATAATTCTGTCTACTTGCACATACCTATGGGATATTCCTTTCCTCTGCCGTTCATTTGGAACCGGTCAGTTTATTTTTACCTCTCGTCTTTTAAGAAATCTTCTTTTCCTGAAAGTATTGTCCAGTTATCATTCGCTAAGCCGTTTTCTCCTCTCTCAGTTTTGAGGTTAGGTTGACCCAACCCTACCGAATGCGAATTAGAGTAGCGGAATTAGTTTCCAGCACTAATAGTGGTTAGTGTACAGAAACCAAAAATCATGTGTGTCCAAATCACACAATTTGAGTTAGTGTATAGAAACCATTTTTAGTCCTCTGACGCTAACTCATTTTTTTCAGTGTGTAATTCAAAAGGGAGGGGTCAGAGATTTCTTACGGGTGCCTTATAGGGGGGGGGGAAGGGGTCAAAAAGTTGGCAAAAATGCCTTATGTAATACTTGAATGGCTCCTTGGTTAAATGAGGTAATGTGCTGAATTTTCAGCTCAATCTGGCAACAATGGTTTGGTGGAAAGGAGGGGAGTACGCTTTTGTGAAATATCCTCGTGTATATACTTAATAGGTCTGTCAAAGTCGCTGTCATGTTTGTCTCTTAATTTCAACAAATTTTCCGACTCGTGGTACCTACCGCTTAAATAAAATATTGGGTACCCAAAACGTTTACGTCAAAACACAGCTGTACACATCTTACGTCAGAATCTTTTCCTAACAATCTTGTAAATTACATGAACCGGGAGAAATGGTCCCTAGGGGTCTCCCCTAAATTACGTGACGCTCCAGGGGGAGACGGGGTTGTGGAGGGGGTTAGGCCATTTGTGTTACGTGTTAAAAGATAGGGATCTAAGTCACAAAAACGTTACAAGGAGGAGGGGGCTCACAAATTCCGAAAATGTGCGTTATGAAATTTACGGATGGCCCCCTAGCCATCACGCGGTCCCAAAAGTGTTTTACATTGGTTCATTACATATGTATAATATGTTATTTGCTGTAAACTAAATAGTGTGCGTTTATTCTTTTCAGCAATCGATCTTACTCTAACCGCAGTGAAATTAAAAATTGGTGAGTTTTTTATTCCCTATCATATCGCATCAGCTGCACTACGCTTTTCACAAGGAATCTAATATTTCGATGGATGCAATCCTTATATTTGGGGTGTTGTTATTGCATATTTTAAAGTTAGAGTTATGCAGTTTAATACTCGCTGTGTTCAAATAACTTCCTTATTGAATAGGTGGATGGAGAGAAAGGATGACCGTTAATTTCTGTACAATTGCCCTGTCTCATGAATTGGCTACGAATAGTGAGACGTGTAATTTCAAATGTCATTCATGATTGAAGAACAGCAAATGCTTGTAGTGCAGCTGATGTTTTTGCATGATAAACTTCACTGGCCAAAGCGGAAAGTTACTATATTGTGGCAAGGTTTTCACTGAAAGTTTTTTAAAAATGCCAGAAACAATTCTTAATAACAATAATACATTAATCCTGCCATTTCAGCGTTGGTTCAATATTGACGCATCATACTAAGGGAACAAAATAACACAAAGTAACCCAAACCCTCGGTGAATTGTGGATATTCTCCGTTTTTCTATTGATCACAATGCTAAATTCAACGAAAATTGTACCAAAATCAATCGTTATTTACGTCGGTTCGTATTTTAATTTATTTATTAACCAAGAGTGAGTGACACAAAAGTACAACAGCTTTCTGGATGTATCAAGAAATTCAAGAATTTTGCGCAATAATTGACCTGATTTTGCCCGAATAATTTCTTCTTACTCATGCGTTATTTTATAAAGATGAGTCTCGGGTAACAACTCTTTACAGAGGAATAAAGGGGGCCAAAAAAATGAAAAAATGGAAAATGTGATGAAAGCCCTTTAAACAAAAGCCACAAACCGGCGTTTAGTTGCCACTGGATTTATGCGGTTTTTGCACTGCGAGACCGCATTAATTCACCTGCGCAATACGCTTCGCTGGCAAATACGTATTCTTGAAACCAATTGAGCCTCACTATATCCTGAACCTTCCCTTAATATACTGCCTTGTCAGCAAAGAACGCCAGATGAGTCTTCAGATTTTGCCAAATCTCCCTAGATTAAATTCTTTTTTTTTAGGATAACTAATAAATATATTTCTTTCAATGCTTACAATAGTGACAATTGCAACTTGAGCCTTAGTAACTGAAATTTTCGAGGAACAATTTGTATAACTTTCCTCGAAAATAAATATTATATTGAAGGATAATTTGGCGAGGACGAAGAGTTCCTACGGTGTTTTTCCTTCGCTCGACAAAATCAGCTTTCGTGCATTTCTGCCGTGATGCCAAAAAACTCCGTATTTAAATTGGAGGGTTGCCAAATTTCTATTCATAAATTGTTCATTTTTAAAGAGAGTTATGAATGTTTTCTCTTGAAAGTTTCAGCTAATTTAGATCCTGCCGCGAATAAAATTCTTCGAAAAATTCGAGTAAAATTGTTCTCAGGTCTCCCTGGAAATCTATGTTACATCAAAGGAAATTAGGCAACGTCTGAGGGCTCATACGGCATTCTTCCTTAGCACTGCAGATTATGAACACGGGGCGAGGAGTTTTTGTCCGTATAAGGCTTTATCCTGGCTCTCGTGGATCTAGTCGATTCCCCATCAAGGCACAGCCTCGCCGAGATTTAATTTGGTGGCCAGTTATTTCGAGTCAGCAAATCGATGGATCGATTATTATATTATTTTCACGTGCGCGTAGAGAGCTTCCGATGAATCGATTGTTTTTCAGTTGAGTTTAATCCGGCGGGCAGTGGTCTCCGTTTTGAATCGATAGCTCGAGGGTCTTCGATGGATCGACTATGGTTTAGTTAAGTATTATTTGGTTGGAATTTTATTTCCGGTGAGCGCTAGGCTGCAAATCGATAGTTCGATTATTTGTGGTTGAATTTTCGGGGTTTTGAGGAATCGATTGAGGTCGAGTCGAGAGGCTGGGCATTAGGTTGAGGTCCGCTCTGCGATATTATTTTTCCGTTTATCCCTCCCAGACGTGGCCGCGTGCTTAAGAGAGGATTTGGCTGTCATATTCCTGACAAGGCGTTGCGCCTCGATGCTAGATCGGTTTCGCTATTGCGTAATTTACTCACCTGAGGTTAATTATGTCTGTATTTGTCTTAGTATACAATCATATTCACGGGAAGGTAGCATGAATGATGCTCAATTGTTTTCCATCTTTTCTCCAAGTGTTTTCATCCACTTTTTTCTTACCGTGACGGTAATATGGGAACCCTCTCAGTATAACCCCTATAACTATACGCAGAGAGAAAACTCAACTGGAAAGTTTGGTTAATACGGGAAGTAAAACGCAAAATAATAATATAAGTTTTCGGTCGACTTTGGGTTTCTCAGTCTCTTCATTGCTTTCTGCGCTAAATCGAATGCGCACTGAAGCAAATTGAATCAACACAAAATTTGGGTCGGTAATAATGCATTTGAGTAAAAGTTCCTGGTGCGTTTCGCAAATAAACCTGCATGCTAGGTCATTTTTTATTAACATCATACTTACAGCGTCCGGCGTTTGTAGGTCCTAAAAGCTCCATGGAGCTCAAGATGGAAGAAGCAATCAGATGCAGCGTATCCTAATGACTATACTCTCTCCTTAAAATTACTCTAAGTGTACCTAGAAATTTCAAGGAAAAACATTCATAATTTTTTTTTTAAAATATAGATTTTACCGGGGCGAACTCCGCAACGTTCATGCGTTCATACGATGTCTCTCCCTAACACATTAAAACAAAACCGTTTATTAACCGCGCATATTCAGGCGCGGCTTATGACACTAGGATGCATTGCGTTGGTGCACTAACGACGTTAAACGCAGCATTGACTCCCACGCCACGATAAACGCGAGAAGATAATACTCGGTCTGGATTGCCATTGTCATGCTCACAATTTGACGCATTTCTGCCAAAAGGAACTAAGTGCATTATGACGTGAGTCATGTTATGCATATATTCTTATGGGTCTCAGGGCTTATGTCTGAATGCACTTAGTTCCGTTTGGCAGAAATACGGCCAATTAGCTGGGCCCCCACTTTTTTGCCTCCTCCGATGTATATATGGATATCGTGAATCCGCGCTTTTTATGACCGATTGATGCAAGTCCGTGATGCGTGGTCGGAACAGTCGGATGTTGTACACAACCATGGTATCATCAAAAATCTATCAAAATGGTTCATTTCGAGTCAATATGTGTTTCAAATGGACTTCTTGCATGTGTGGGAGATTTGCGATTTAAGTGCATACTAATTCTTTTGTAAAATTTCGCGAGAAACATGATGATGCCACTGTTACTCTCTGAAACGAATTCTGAAACTCAAAAAAAAAACTCACAAAGTTAAGACCGTAATGGAGGAGGTATTCCGTGCTATTCTGAGAGTCATGATACTCTCTATATCTAGTCAAAATCTCCATGCAAAGATAGGAAGCGAATACATTGCAGGGCTGCCGAGTTTTCAGTTTTGGAGTCCCCAAATAAAGTGATCACCCTGTTAATGTATTTGCGCTCTGTCTTTGGATGTAGAGTTTGACTAGATATAGAGGTGGACTCTCAGGATAGCGTGGGATATCCTCGCCATTACGACCTCAATTTCCAAAGCTTTTTTTAACATTTTGACTTTGTTTCAAGGAAAACCAGCAGCACCATCGTGATTCTCGCAAAATTTTACATGAAAATCAGTATTAAAGAATCAAACCTAACAAAATGGAGCAGTATCACAATTTTTGGAGATAAATCGTACCACTTTTTTTCCGCGGACCGTGTCACTTAATTCCATCCAACCATAGCAAGTCGGTCAGACTATGGTTAAACTTTTCTTCCATGAACGGAATACAAGCCACCGTGATGATTGTATTCTTCCCGGGTGAAAGAGTCGTTGATTAAGCTATTTTATTAATAATATTATTCAACCAATCTGGTGCCCCAACCCTCCATGTCGTAAAGAGACCTCTATTTCACGAAGACCCGTTTACTGCGAGGCGCTCTTCAAACAAGGGAAATGCAGGGTTGGGCTTTTAAATATCAGGACTCTCCCACGCTCTCTCGTTGTTCCGACCAACGAAAACACTTCAACCAGCTTGGCGCCTCTACGCACTGTAGGAAGTTACTTTTAAGTGTTTAGCTTTAAGCCAGCGCTTCCGCCTTCAAATCGCCTCTGGTAGACCGAAAAGCCTCAATACCGCCGTGCCGGAAGAACGTCGTATGAGCCTTCAGGCGTTGCCAAATTTCCTCTCTGAAAATATCTTTTTTTAAATAAGGTTATGGATATTTCTCCATAAAATTTTCACAAAATATCGATCAAATTCCGAACGAATTCTTTGAAAAATCAGAAGAATAATAAATACTGCTTTTCCCGAAAATTCTAGGTTTTCCAAAAGAAATTTGACAACATCTGAAAGCTCATACGGCGTTCCTCCTTAGCACGGCACAATAGATGACGTTAAAATGTCTCTGATTATCAGAGGAGATTAACTCCTCGTTTTAATTTCAATTATTTTAGTATCAGAGCACTTAAAACGTGGCTAATAAAACTATCTGAAAAATGGGAAGAAAAATATTCACAATCTCCCCCAAAAATCCATAGTTTATCAAAGGCAATTTGGCAACGTATGGGGACTCATACGTCGGATTTCCTCTGCGCGGCAGTATAAAGAGTGACATCGAATTGACTCAAACTTCCGACTTTCAGATCCGGAACGAAGTTTAACCATTTTAGTTCTCCGGAAAAAAACAGATTGGATCTAGAGTCTAGACTCTTAAAAACATCGACAGGAAAAAGTACTCTTGATTCAATCAGAATCTAGCTTAAATCAAGAAGCAGGCCTCTGAATTTAAGCGGATTTCGTTTTGATTCAAGCAAAAATCCAATTGAATTAAGAGTATTTTTTCTTGTCAATGTTTTCAAGAGTCTGGACTCTAGATCCAATTTTTTTTTTTTTTTTTCCTGTGCTTATACTCCTCTCGCGATTATCCAACTCCACCACTTTCGGCCCCATTGTGCGGAGCGAAGCGCGGCCCCGAC